TACGGGGTGGTGCGGACCGCCCATGCCTCCCCGGGGGCACGGACCCCGGCCTGCTGTGCGCTCCCCACCCCAGGGTTGTCTGCAGCCCCTTCTTTGGGGCTTTTATGGGGGCTCTTACATGGGAATGTCTCGTTCACCAGCTGGCCCTCGGCATCGCCCTCCAGCCCTCTCCCTGGCTTGGGCCTGGCGGCGGGGGTGGGCCTGGACATTCTAGTCCTCTCATCACACGCCTGGCCCTCCAGCCCCCCACCTGTGGGCACTCGCAGGTAGTCACCTCATTCACACAGACTCTTTCTCACTCCCTGCGCTTTGGAAATGCCAAACTTTCTGTGAGCGCTGAACCAGGAACTGTGTGTGTAAAGGCCAAGTTGATATGAGAAGTCATCTAAATGACCGAATACATATTTTTCTGCAAATCATAGTTTGCACCAGCTCTCGCTCTCTCACCTGTTACCTGAAATGAGAGTGTCCGTAGCACTTTAGGAGCTTGCTGGAGGCTCAAAGGGAGAATTTGACCCCGGAAGAAGTCTGACAGCCACGTAAGCTTGAATGCATAGGAACAGTGAGTCACTGACATTAAAAATACAGTTCTTGATTGGGGGTGACTAGTAGTTCTACGTTCCTTTGACCTAAACTTGGACGCTATGGGCACGGAGGAAGGCGATGCTGGGGTTTGTCTGCTTGCTTTTTCTTTTCTTTTTTTCCTTAAGATTTATTTATGTGTGCACACAGAACTGGGGTATAGGCCAGAGGTGCGGGGGTGAGAGGATTCTCCAGAGGCAGAATGGGGAACAGAACAGGCACATTGACAAAGTACACAGCTGAGGGGAGCAGTGGGAAGACAGGAGGGGTCTGCTGCGCCCTGGGGGTCCTGGCCAGGGATTGAACTCGTGCTGCAGCTGCAGCGGCTGCCATAGCTTCGTAGAGCTGTGCTTTTACCCACTGCATGCCGGGGAGGCCCTCAGTCGCTTTCGTACTGAAGCGGAGGTGCAAAGGCTGGGGACCCCGAGTTGATCTCTCCAGCTAGTCCTGACTCGATGAGGCTGGCTTTGCCCATTGGCAGCAGAGTGTGCACAGGTGTTTCACAGACTCGGGTCCACGTGGATGGCCTTGTGCTCTTGTCTGCTGGGCAGGGACACTCAGTTTGCAGGCTGCAACTCAGAGCTGACTGGAAAGTCTCCTCTTTCGAGTATGTCTCCTTTGTATGTTAGTTGCGTGCTCTGGAAGGGCCCGGCTTCTCTAGCATGACTCTACCACCGTTTGAATGCACCAGTGTGAGTTTTGTGTGGCTATGCACCTGTCTCTCTCATGGGCTGCAAGTTTAGAAGGGAGGAGATACCTTTGTACTTGCTTTTGTGCCCTCGGCACAGCGCCTGGCACATCGTCTGCACTGTCAGTGCCCCGTGAGCGCGCCTGCTGACTCGCAGTGCCGTTTAGCTTTTTCCTTCCTTAAAATGAGAGTTGGGCTCGTTTGCAGTAATCCTCCTGAGAAGGGCTGACGTTAGCACGGAAACCAGCATTATTTCCAACTTGAGTGTTGGTACCGAGGCCGGGGCATGGGAAAGACAAGACAGGAAGATCAGGAAAGCGAACTTGTCGGGACGAAAGGCCGTGACACACATGCCTTGTGGATGGCCTTTGAGTGATGTGGTCATGGTTTTCTGCAAAGATTCAGCCAGTGCTTTTGAGGCCCCCACTCTGCTGGGCACTCACCGGGTGCTGGGCCCTACACCCCCCAGTGGAATATAGGTTTCAGGGGAAGATGAGTGCTGAGCATATCAGTGTTTATTGAAATCTTTTGGTGTTTATCATGTGACCTGTGCCCCTGGGGTGTGTATCTAGTGTGTGCGGTCAGAATCCCATGCAAGGTAAGCAGCTGTTGTTTGTGGAACACTGGAAAAAGAATTTGCAGCAGTAAATTTCAGTAGTAAGAGCTTTGCTGCCAACCTTGAGACGCCATATTTCCTACAGAATACAACTGTAGGAGACAGTGTGTGGGTCCCGAGGAGAGGTGCCCCAGCCCGCGCCCGCCTGCCCCTGGCCGTGCACTGCGTCCCTGCCTCTGCTCCTCAAACCTGGTTCTGTCCTTCTGTCCCCTGCACACCCAAACTTCTGTTTCCTAAAAGTTACGTTTCTACTCTCTAGGTTGGAAGTTACATTCTGTTTCCCCCAGAGATTAGTACTTCTTTCCAGAAGCTGAGCTGACTGCCTGTGCAGACAAGACTCGGAAGCCAGTGGTGAGCGGTCTGCGTTCTGTTCACTGACAAGCGCCTCACCTGCAGTGCCAGGGGGTTGACGTAGACAGGGGACGTGGTGCCCACCACAGGGAGTAACACTCTGTGAGGAGAGGGATACCCTGCGTCTCTGGTCCTCTGCGTGACTCGCATGTTTCAGACACTGTCCTGGGCGCTGGGCACAGAGCAGTGAATGAAACACATTCTGGTCTCTGAAACCAACATTCCAGTGAGTCAGAATAAACCAGCCGGTCGTGAGTGCCAGGAAGAAAACTAAAGCCGGCCAGCTGGTTGGAGAGGAAGTGGGTACTGACTTAGCTAGGCTGGTCCGAGAAGGGCCATCTGACGAGGTGACGTTTGAGCAGACCCGTATGAGGTTAGGGAGCTGGCGCTTCATGTCCAGGCCGCAGGAGCCTTCCTGCCATAGCAGCCGTGCAAAGGCCCTGGGGTGGGAGGTCCCGGAGTGGAGAACTGGCTCTGGAGAGGAGATCCGAGGGAGGGTGGGAGATGGGCGATGAAAGCCTGGGGGGTTTGCTCTGTGTCTGATGGGAAGCCCTTTGAGGTCTTCCCAGGAGGCAGGATTGACCTGCGTTGGTTTCAAGAAAGACTGCAGCCTGCACTGTCCAGAGCCCTGCGGAACTCCGAGCCCAGTGGAGAGATGTGGTCACCCAGGGTGGAGAGTGTGGTGGACCAGCAGGTAAAGGTGGTGCTGGGAGAAGCCAGGAGCTTCTGGACGCTTGGAAAGTGGAGCCGACAGGGTGGACAGAGGTGCAGAACAAGAGGAGAGAGTCAAAGGTGACCCCAGGTCATCTGTGAAGAGCTGCTCGTGGAAGTGGGTCTAGGTCTAGACTGTGCCAGAGGCCTCTGTGCAAAAGGAGCTTAAAAGCGGCGTGAAAAGGTGCCTTGAGAAGAACTGACACACTGTGACATACACAGAATGTCTCATTCCAGTCCTCAGAAATGTGTCTTCTGGACTCCACCTCCTGCGGAAATGGGAGTCTTGTCCTACCCAAAGCCTGGGGGCCGGTGAGGCAGCCCCAGGGGTGGGGGTGGGGGGAGGCAGCCCGGGGCCGGCCACTTGAGCAGCAGCGTGGACTTTGGTGAAGACGTGGCTTTTGGCCGTGCGTGCTCATCCACTGTAGCTCCAGCCCCACCTCGGGCCTCCTCATGCGAGCTGGAAGCCCTGCCCACCGTCCTCGCTGGCTGACTTGGGTAAGAGTCCCCGTGTGGAGTATCCCAGCTCTTGCTGCTGGTGCAGTTCTCAGTCTTGCTAGGAAGTTGATAAAAGGCATCTGTGTGCCATCTACCCAGAGCACCCTCTGTTTTACTTTTCTTCCAACGCTCCTGAAAATGGGACAGAATTGCATGAAACTGAAATCTACCTGGCAGTGGTCTGGGCCCCTGGGTGGCTCCCAGCTTTGGAGGGGACCCACCAGGCCCAGGCCGGGCTGAGGGTCCCTTCCGTGGCAGAGCTGTGGATACGGGTACCACGTCCCCGGGACTCCAGTGGACTTTGGCCGAGAAATCACGGTCTCATTTTCCACGCTGGCTCGTTTTCTCAGTCAGGAGCTTCTCTTTCTTTGTGTCAGGATGCCGTGGGCCCCGCCGGGCGACTGCTACCTGGGGTGAGCTTCCTGGCGGGGTGTCTGGGCCCTTTGGGGCGTCCGCTTAAGGCACTTCCTGGGTCAGCCACGCGCGATGCTGGCTGTTGGGGTCAGTGACGTGGCCTCAGCTGGTGGTTTCCCTGCCGTGAAGTGGGGACGCTGAGCCACCTGCTTGAGCGGCTGGGGCCACCGGGGTTGCACGCAGACCCCCGGCTCGCTGCTCCGTGTTGCCGACGGCCCTCAGTGAGGGGAGGTGTGCTTGCAGGACCTGGCCCCGTCACCGAGTCTGGCCGCTTGAGCTGCTTCGTGCTGGCCAGCATCTGAGGCTGGGCCTGAGAGCTGGCCGCGCCCGCAGAGCCGCGCCCGAGCAGCGGCTGCCTGGACAGACGTATTTTTTACCCCCGACTCTCGCTGGCCTGCGATGTGCCCTGCCTTAGAGTCCACGTCTGGCCTCTGCAGAGATTCCATGGCCACCCGTTAGGAAGGTTCTGTTCCACGTGAACCAGCAGGAGCTGGGCTTTGCGAGCACGGAGTCGCGGGCCGTCAGCCCTGCCGCCGGCGAGGCCGGCGCCCGAGGAGGCTCCACGAGGCCAGCGAGGCGCTGCTGCCAGTCGACCAGTTTGCTGTGACAGCTTCGCCCAGCTGGCTCGGTGGTCTCACGCCCACGTCGCCCGGGGCTGCGGCCAGCTCTGGGGTCCAGAAACGAAGCTCTTCCTTGCTTATTACCCCGGGCTTTCTGAAATACATAAAGTCTTTGGAATCTTTGCTTCAAATAGTTGCTAGATGAAGTTAAACAATTCCATTTTTATTTCTGAAGTGCTGAAACATCAGGGTTTGGGAGGCGCCTCGCAATGGTGACATTTCTGTTACAGTAACTCACTGACACTTAGCACTTCTGAGTTTGGGCCGCAGACACCCCGGGTTCAGTCACACAGCTCGTACTCGGCCCTTCCGCGTCCATTCTGAATCCTGGTGACACCCAGGGACAGGTGTCACTTCGATTCTCTTTACTTCTGGGTAAAGACGTCTGCTCAAAAGGTGGGTGCTGTTTGGATCGCCCTAGAGAGGCTGATTCACTGGCCTGAACGGACTGACCTGGATGTTTTGAAGTTGACCGTGGCTGCACGCGGTGACTTACACCAGGAAACCTTCTCACCCCCAGGTATTATTAACCCAAAGAACCCAAAGGAAGCGCCAAAGTCCTTCAGCTTCGACTACTCCTACTGGTCGCACACCTCGGTGAGTGCCCCGCGCGGGGAGGGCCCGTGGCCTGTGGGTGCTCCTGCTGGCGCTCCAGGGAAGGCAGCTGCCCACCCCCCTGAGAGGAAACAAGCCTAGGCACCCCGCTCCCCCTGGGGCCGTTGCTCCTGTTGTGGGGGGTGCTTTAGCTCCCCTGAGCGCTGGCCCAGGGAAGGGCCCTGGAGGGGATGGGAAACGGGCCACGGAAAGCTGATCATTGAGAAGGAGCCTCACACTGGAGCTTGTTATGCCAAGTGATTTTAGAGAGGGCCTTGACCTTGGTCTTTCCATCTCATTTTCTACTAAAATTTTCTCCCTTGGGGCTCACTGTGGACAGAAGGGTGAGCCTTAGGGTTATGGAAAATGAAATGTCAGCATGTGAGGAAACCTCACGGAGGTGTTGTTATGGCTGCCCGTACTGACACGTAGGGCCGTGCACGTGCACGTGAGCAGGTAGGCGTGTCTCTGTGAGCCGTGTGTGAGCGTGCACGCATGTGTGCGTGGGTGCAGGTGTGCGTGTCTGTGTGTCATGTGCTGTGTGCAGGTGCGGGTGTACACGTGCAAGGTTAATGAGAAAAATAAATGGTGGAGAGACTTCGAAGGGGAGGGCATGTTTCAGGCGACTTCTGGCTGAGCGCTCACTGGTGGTAGGAGCAGTGAAATAGAGCCAAGCGTAGGAGTCGGGCGCCGCTCGCTGATGCTCCCTCTTTGCAGCCGGAAGACCCCTGTTTCGCATCTCAGAACCGGGTGTACAACGACATCGGGAAGGAAATGCTCCTGCACGCCTTCGAGGGCTATAACGTCTGCATCTTCGCCTACGGGCAGACGGGCGCCGGGAAGTCTTACACCATGATGGGCAAACAGGAAGAGAGCCAGGCCGGCATCATCCCACAGGTAAGGCAAAGCACCAAAACTTGCTTGCAAATTCCACTCAAATTTGCCTCCAGTTGTGCTGTAACAATCACTGTGTCGCCGCCCCGTCTGGTGGAGGAGCTGAAAGTCCCCAGCAACAGGTGGGGTGTGCTCAGCTCCTGCGAGGGGGGGAGCTCGGTGCTGACTCAAGTCCCTTCCCCTGAGCGGCGTTTCCAGCTGATGAACAGACCAGCTGGCAGGAGCCTGGTGAAGGGGAGTCGATCCCGTTGCATGTGTGGGTCATCCCAGGAAAGTTCTGGTTTTGGGTTTTTGTTTTTGTTTTTTTTTTTTTTGATTGCCTCCTTCAGAGGTACTTTTTGTTCACTTCATCGTTCAGCACTATACTTTTAACTCATGCTGTGATGTCTTTTCTTGAGAGCACTTAGTCATTCGATCTTGCTTGGGCGTGGCAAAGGGCTTTGGCAAAGAACTTTGTCAATAACAGGAACATGGTTGGCTTTTATTAGTGATATTTGCCATTATTTTTAAAGTATTGTTTTACTATAGGCGTCTGTGTCCATCTGTTTCCTGAGAATAAAATACATAAGGGAGCATTAGCTACTTTTTCTAATGGATTGTTGGGCTATAACATTGAATTCAGCAATATAATTAAAATCCTTAATTATTAATAAGGGTTGGGGAAATTTCAGAAAAAAAAAATTGAACATACTAGACTTTTCCTGTAAAAAAATGTACTTGCTGTAAGATATAATTAGGAACTGTCCTCTGTGTACAGCAGTGGCTGATACTAATTGGAGAAACAGCTGTGCCAAACTCAGGTCTACGTGGCTGTAAATCCTCACTCTGCATCCTCTGTGAGCCCAAGGAGTAGGGGCTGAGGAGACTGCCAAGGAGGGCGTGTCCCTGCCCAAGGGCGGGCAGAGCCAGGGTTCAGACAGCGAGGCCGAGGCCGGCTGAGCTGCTGCTCCTCCTCGGAGCTGCCTTTGGCTCCAGGCGTCGGCGAGTCACAGGCCTCGGTCGCCGCGCTGAGGGGTCCTCCCCCATCCCCCCACCCCTGCCCCGGGCTTTGGTTCGTTGTTCCTACAGTTCTTTCATGATTACAGTGTATTTTTTTCCTAGTAAAAGTTTGGATTTTTAAAAGATGATGATTTACAATCTCTCACTTATAATCTATTTCAACTTTTTTTAGTGTTCAAGGGAATCATGAACATATAATCCATTTCCCACCAGTGGATTATTCGCCTTAATGCTAAAGTCTAGCGAAAGAAAATTCAATGGCTTCTCATTGTTCTTATTGAAACGTCACATTTAACATAAATTCAAGGTGCAGGGAGAGTGAAATTTATAATTTCCCTGGTCGAGAAGAACTGAGGTTCCCAGTGGAAACGGCGCCGTGCCGGAGCGGCGTCTTGCCGGTGCTTCTGCGGGCTGAGCGCCAGGCCCGGCACGCACCCACACGCAGCAGCTCCAGAGGCGCGGCTGCAGCTCCGACGGTGCCGTGGGTCTGTGAGCAGCAGTAGATACCAGAACAGTCTCGCAGTTTCTCCGCCCGCGGCCTCCGGCGGTGGGGCTGCGCACGCCGGCTGCCGGCAGGCGGCTTTCTTTCCAAGGCACCTGGAGGTGTGATTGTGGAGGGAGGAAGGTCAGAGGAGGCGACAGGACTTAGAAACTTGGTTATTATTTCACCCAAGCATGACCCTTCGCGTTGAGGCCACCCGTGTTTGGGGGGTCTTGAACTTCCCCGACGTGCGCCTCACGCGCTCTCGTTGTGCCTCTGCAGCTATGTGAAGAACTGTTTGAGAAAATCAACGACAACTGCAACGAAGAGATGTCGTACTCCGTGGAGGTGAGTGCTCACCGGCCGGCCCACCTGGGACGGCCTCTGTCGGGGACTGTTCGCTTCTGGTGAGGGGACTCTGGGGAAGGGAGTCCGTGCTGCCACCGACGAGGCAGGCACGGCCGTGGGGCCGCTGCCCCACGAGACGAAGCAGGTGCGTGGAGCGTTTCCAGGTCGCGTTAGTGTAGACGGGTCTGCCTGTGCCCTCTGGTCAACTTTAACACTTGGCGCCAGGTGAGCTACATGGAAATTTACTGTGAAAGAGTCCGAGATTTGCTGAACCCAAAAAACAAGGGCAATCTGCGTGTGCGCGAGCACCCGCTGCTCGGCCCGTACGTGGAGGACCTCTCCAAGCTGGCGGTCACTTCCTACACGGACATCGCCGACCTCATGGACGCCGGCAACAAGGCCAGGTACGGCGGGCAGAGGCGCCCCAGGAGGCTCGGGCCCCGCTCCAGGCCCCACTGTGGGCCGAGGGTCTGAGAGGGCACTGCAGCTCCCCACTGGCCGGGGTGGGGAGGGTCCACACCCCAGGTGTCTCGCTTTGCGTCAGAATCACACGCTGCTGAGACGCCTGGAACTTGCGCTAAGTTCTGCCGCTGGGAGTTGATCGCGGCTGGGCAAAACGGCGATCATTGTGCGCCTCTGGTTCTGATGGCGCCGCAGTAAATGAGCATCCAGTGAAGTCTAAAAGTCAGATGCCTCCGTGACTGCTGAGGGGACAGTGGGGTCTGAAGGATGGTTCTGATGGGGCCTCTGGGCCGCAGGGCGGCTTGATGTGCGCAGACGGGGGGTCACGAGCGTGGTGTGCGAGTCATAGCCTTGCAGCCTGGGAGCCGGTGAAGCTCTGCTCCTGGTGGTTACGCTGACAGGGTGGGGCCTGCTGTCCTTTTAATTTCCTTCCTAATAAGACCACTGTCCTGTGGTTGCCGTGTCTCTTCAGGACGGTGGCAGCCACCAACATGAACGAGACCAGCAGCCGCTCCCACGCTGTGTTCACCATTGTCTTCACCCAGAAGAAGCAGGACACGGAGACCAACCTCTCCACCGAGAAGGTGGGCAGGCTCCCATCTCCAGGCTGAGTCTCGGCGGGGGGGTCAGAGACTCCTGCGGGCTGAGTCTCGGGGGTGGGGGGTGTCAGAGACCCCTGCGGGCTCCCATCTCCGGGCTGAGTCGTGTCTGGGAGAGGGGGTCAGAGATCCCTTTTGCTCTCTGCATTATGTGGAAGGGAGGGAAGTGGCCGTTCACTTCATAGACTGTTGCATGTCTTCTGCTGATCCTGCTTACTCCCCTCTAAGTCACTTCTGAGCGTGGGCTCTGAAGTAAAACCGTGGAATAGAAAATAAGGTTAAGGGAAAAAACATCTCAGAATGTACCACTGTGCGGGAGAGCGCTTTTTCACCCTGAAACCGCTTCCTGCGAGCCATACGGGTCGCCTGAGCTTCCGTGCTGGTCTTTAGATTGACTGGAGCACGTTGTCGTCTTCTGTCGCCTGAGAGTCCTAGTGACTCACTTGAGTCTTCTCCAGGCCTTTTCATTTCCTGCCTTTACATGTTTTTGTTTTCCTGCTTCTGCTTTGCTTATTTTTGAACTGCGCCAATATTGTTCTCCTTTACCAGGTCAGTAAAATCAGCTTGGTGGATCTCGCGGGAAGCGAACGAGCTGACTCAACAGGAGCCAAAGGGACTCGACTGAAGGTATTTGTCCTGCCCAGCCGGCGGGCGGCCAGTGGCCCAGGGCGGCAGCTCGGCCACAGAGCGGATCTGCCACCGCCTGTTTCTCTAAGTGTCTCCAGGACACAGCTCGTCCAGGGCCGCTGTCCTGTCCCGAGGAGCAGGGCTGGGCGATTGTGACAGAGGCCACGTAGCCCACACAGCCCTTGCAGAAAACCTCTGTTGATGCTGCCCTGTGCCGTCAGTGAAAAGACAGGTCACGCAGGGTGGCAGCTCAGGGACCCCGTCAGGGTGGAAGTGACTCGGATTCTGAGGAGCAGGCAGCCTCGGCTGCCAGAGCCCGCAGGTGGGAAGGGCCGTGCTCCAGGCCCGAGGGCGCGCACCTTGTCCAGAGACGGCGCTTAACAAGGCCAGCGTGGCACCTTGCAGTGAGCTGTGTGAAGGAGGCTCCAGGTGTAGGTTTCTGCAGCGCAGGTGCCTTGCAGGGACCTCAGGACTGTGAAGTTAGCATGTTGCCAGCGGAGATCGAGGATTAAAGACACATTTAGGACGTGTGGTCATCAGTGCCAGATAAAAGGCAGCCACGGCTGACCGAGCCTCGTGTCTCACATGTGATGGGTGAGCAGTAGAAAATCTTCATCCTAATTCTCTCACGTTTGGTCTTGATTTCAGGAAGGAGCGAACATTAATAAGTCTCTCACCACTTTGGGCAAAGTGATTTCCGCCTTGGCAGAGGTGGTAAGTGCCCCACACCCACGGCGGGCGTGCGGTCCGATTTTATGGTCCTGTGGGAAGAGGGACCTTTCACGCAGCCCCGCCTTTCTCCTTCTGGAACTTCTCAGATTAGATATTCCTTTGACTTTGTACTGAGAGAAGAGATTAAGGAGAAGGGAAGTAAAGGTAGAAGGTTCGAGCAACAGCTGCTCTTTAGAAAAGCCTAAGGTTTGACTGAGGCTTGAATAATTTCTTCTACTGGTCTCAAGATAAAAGTTCATTTTATTTAGTTTTAATCGTGCTTATTAACTTACCGTTCATTTGCATAATGAGAATTTTGGGGATCCCGTCTTCATGCCTCCATGTGTGCACAGGCCGCCCCCCACCAGAGCTCGAGCGACTCCATGAAACTAGTTTAATGTTAGAAGCGTTTGACTAGTTTGTTTTCCCTCTTTATATCCACAAGTGCGTGAAGGCGCCTGGCACGCGTCTCTGCTCTGTGCCTGCCTACACTGCCGGCGCCCCTCGGCCTGTCAGTCCCCACGGCACGGTGGCGAGCAGAGTCCCCCTGCGGGTGTGCGGTCGTGTCTTCCCCAGCCTCCGTCTCCCCCGGCTCGCCGCCCCTTGGCTCGTCCTGTGTCCGGTCGAGCCTCCTTAGCATTCTTTGCATGCTCTCCCGTGTAATCTGTTCAAAGTGGGGTGCAGTATTTGCGCAGTCAGACTTTGGCGAAGGCTGTTGGTGTGGGTGGGCGGCGCTGTAGTTTTCAGAGTTTTACTCGTTCTGTTCCTTAATAGTGGAACACTGAAATGGAAGTAATTTTACCATGAGAGACGTCATTATTTAGCTGAGAAGTGAAGCAAGTATTAATCATCCTGTGCCCTAAATGATTTCAGTTTTACCTAAAGATAGTTAAATGTTTTCTTGTTTATCTCTGAAAAGTCATTTTCAACTTATGACCTAAAATTCGGACAAATTATTTGCTGTGCTTATGTTGTGTTCTCACTCTCTCTCTTAAATGCTCTCATCTGTAGGATAACTGCACCAGCAAGGTACGGTGGGGTTTGGTAGACGTCAACTGGGGAACCTTTGATGATGCTTAGGTGCTCAGAGGATGCGTGGAGGCCTCAGCGTAATAATAAAACCTCCAGAACACTTTTTTTTTGCCATTTGTTCTGTGGCCCTGGGATTTAGAGTTGCCGTTTCGGGTGACCATGAGTCATGAGGCCTCACACCAACATGATTTTTCAAGAACATGATGTGATTTGGGGAAGGAATTCAGAATAAAGGAACAAGAGAGCAATTGGAGGAAGCTCTGTACTCTGCCACCGTCCGCGGGCTTCCCGGTGAGCCGCAGGCCGGCACCAAGTGCTGTTCAGGCATAGGTAGAAGGCGTCTCTCAGGGCAGTGTGCAAGGCACCTGGCTTCCAGAAGGCGTCAGTCTGCTCTTCTTAAGCCTCTTTGTATGAGCTGTGCTCATTTCTCACCATGGAGGGCCATAGGCTAAAATTGTCTAAAAATAGTTTTTTCTACTCTTTGATTGTAGCCAAAGCATATTATTTGCTCCCTTTTCAATCTAAACACCAGAGATTTTTCTGTTTCTTCTATTTGGATTCAGACACTCCAGAACGTAGTAGCTTTCCTCTGCGAGAGTGGCAGCCCCCCAGTGTGTTCTGAGTCGCCGGCAGCCTGTGGCAGCCTCTGCGCCGAGAAGCGCTCGGCTGCTACCTGCACACCCGCGGCCTCTTTTTTCTCTGCTGCCCCACAGTAATGGCCTGTCTGTGTTGACTGGGAAAATCTACCTTCCATTTAAAAGACCCCATCTTCTGTTTGCTGTTATGTCCTCGTGACGCCCTCTGCACTGCCAGTCTGCGTCCCAGGACCGTGACGACTCAACCTGCTGGGCCTCCGGCCTGGGCGTTTGCCCGCACTAACGCCCCGCCAGACAGGGACAGTCTCGTGTCCATCCGCGCGTTTCCCGCACGACGCTGTGGTTCACAGATGGTTTTTTATAATCAGTTTTATAAAGTGCTATTTAATACCAGGATCTATTTCATAACTGGAACATCAAGATAAATTTTTTTTATAAAACAATCAACGTTTTGAGGAAATTAAGATGTATTGTTATTTCCGGTGGGGCGAGCAAGAATCAGGATCTTACCTTTCGCACTTCCTAGGGCTTATTTCTAGAGAGGTTAGTGATCTAAGTCAAGCTTTTTCTGTAACTATGGAAGCACTTAACAACTATGACAGCAGGCCAGTTTGATTAAGAGAACAAATGGGAAAGAAATGGCTAAAATTCTGGGGCATCTTCCAGTGGGAAGACTGAAGTTCTGTTTCTGCTTCGTTTAGCTGTTCCTTCTTAATGTCGTCTAGCTGACAAATAGGAGTGCAGAACACTTTGCAAACTGTATGCTTCTTCTCACAGCACTGCCTGCAGTCACTGCAGGGGCATCCTCAGAACCTCACAGTTTCTCAGCACTGGACAAGGGCAAAGGAGTGTGTAGGTGTGGCCAGAGCCAGCAAGGAATAAACCTTGCAGACCTCCAAGATTTTGTAGGGGAGGCTGGGCCCCACCAAGCCATGAGTGAGAGGTTAAAGTCTGTAGCAGTCTGTATAGCTTAGCCATAGAAGCTGCTATTTGAAGTGACTTTCTAGTTGGGCAAATGAGTATTCGTGGGGAGAGTAGGAGGAGATGGAATTTGCCTCCTCCTTTCCTCAATAAATCAGAGGTCAGCCGCTTAGAACTCCTTTTCTAAATACTCTGCTTTTGCAAGAAGATCACCCCTAATTTAGCCTCAGATTCTATCAGGAGTGGATTATAGACCTGCCAGTGGCCGGGGAGATGTTTATCAGTGAACCCTGGCTTTCCCCAGAAGCCTTTCAGTGGCAGACTCAGACGGCAGTCAGCCAGCAGATACCGTTATCTGCAAGCGTTTACATTGCTTTCACTTTCAAAAGATAGACTTTCCTCCACTTCAGCTCTGGCTCTGCACGGATGCTGTTTGCTTCATGAGAAGAGTCGCAGGAAGCAGCAGTGCCGGAAACGCACCTTCCAGGCCTTAGTCTCCCTTAGCCAGCCACGGCTGCCTTAGTGTGCTTCGTGCCGCCCAACGCCGGTGGCTGGACTTGTGTGAGGGAGCAGCCCGGTGTAGTGATTCCCAGTTACGTAGGTAGGCCACGACCCACTCATCTGCTGACATGACCATTCCATTAACTGAACGACTTGTTTCTTCACCCCCAGCCTGCCTTCTGCAGAAATAAAAACTACTGCCAGAGGTCGCGTTTTGGATGATCTTAAGGGATGATGGTTAATTTTGTTAAGTGAGGTCATGATCTTGTAGTTACTTGTTTTGCAAGCCCCACTCTGTTAGACGTGTCCCTGGAATATGAGTAGGTGAAATGTTGGCTTGGCTCGAAGACATTATCACCTGTAAAGTTGTGGTTGGATAGGTGAATGGGCCCTGGTGCTGCATGGGTCGAGCCCTCCCGAGTCCGACCATGGAGCTGTGACTGCTAAGGGAGCGTGCGTGTCCCGAGCGCGCAGGGAGGGGCGCCCACGGCAGCCGCCGCCTACTCCAGAAGGGGCAGGGGACACAGTGGGACGTCCCGAGGGACAGCTGAGGTGGCTGACGAGAAACTGCGAGTGGTGGAAACCGCAGGTGGCCGTGTGTGCAGCTCCTGTCCACGCTCAGCTGTGAGCGTGTCACTCGTTTCTCAAAATAAAATAGAAGAAGACAAACATTATTACGTGAGCTTTGGATATTTTGAAGCGTTTACACTTGATGCGGAACTTCATCAGGGGTTTTACTTACTTGGGATTTTCAGGCTGGTTTGCTTTCGTGGGAGTATTTTGCCTCTAAGGGTGCTACGAGACATCTCTTTCTCTTTGATAGAGTAAGAAGAAGAAGAAGACGGATTTTATCCCCTACCGAGATTCTGTCCTCACGTGGCTTCTTCGAGAAAACCTAGGTAGGTTGACGGGGGCGGCGAAGCCACCTGTCCCGCGTCTGCTGGGAGGAGAGTCACCTCACCTGTCCGCCGTGCTGAGTTGAGGGCGCCTTCTCTTTTCCACGTTCACTCTTGGTTTAGTTGGGTGGAATTCACTCCTGTATTCAGACTTGTCGCCTGTATTTTGTTGACTTCAGAACATGAACTCGGGGTGCAGTGGGCTTCCTGCCCACACCCCTGCTTCAAAGTGCTGTCCCTCCCCCCTTTGGGAAGTCCCACGCTCCCGAAGGGGCAGAGGCCAGCACTCGCCAGCCCTGACTGCGTTTTCGCCAGCGTTTTGGCACCTCTGGTCGCCACCTCCCTCCACTCACTCTCCTTGTGCCCCTCCTCCTCGCTGAAGAGAAGGGGTCACTGAGAGAGACGTTCTGAGTGCAGAGGGTGGGGACAGGCTGTGGTGGTGGCTCGTGGCGCGCGGAGCCATGTGGGCAGGGTGCTGGGGTCCCGCTGTGCGGGGCTCAGGGGCAGGCGGAGGGAACCGCCCCAAGCGGGAGCCTCACTGGGCGGCCGGCTGCCGCGGTCGTGCTGTTGGGTTTGACACCGCCGAGGACACTGAGGTGTGGTGGCTCATCCTTGCAGGGGGCAACTCCCGGACTGCCATGGTGGCGGCCCTGAGCCCGGCGGACATCAACTACGACGAGACCCTGAGCACCCTGAGGTACTGCGTGGGCCTGCGGGTGCCGGCTGTGGGGGGACAGCCGTCCTCACAGGGCGACGGGGCGGAGGGGGTTTCGTGATGACAACGCGCCTGCCTAGGTTGTCAGTTTCATCGGGCAAGGCGGGAGCTTTGTCACGGGAGAGTCATTGAGATGGCCCAAGCGAGACTTTGGTTAAGCTTCTAGATGATCATGAACGTTTTTTGTCCTTTTTGTGCTGTTTGTCACAGAACTGCTCAAGGGGTTAAAAAGTAACAGTTATGAATACAGGTAACAATGAAAAGATTCACTTTCTGGCCTTTCTGTAAAGGAGCAGACTGTCTGCATCTCAGGGAGTCAGCTGAGGCTTTTCCCTGAGACGTAAAATACCACAAAGCTTCCTACAGTTGTATTTCTCTTAAGACTCAAAATGTGTAGCTGTTCAAGCTGTTCAGTTTAGAAATAATGGAATATTGCTTGTGGGACGTGGAGCGTCTGGGTGACGGAGCAGGGGATGGATTTTCTCGTTGGCTCTAGATACGCAGATCGTGCAAAACAAATCAAGTGCAACGCCGTCATCAATGAGGACCCCAACGCCAAGCTGGTTCGTGAGTTAAAGGAGGAGGTGACCCGCCTGAAGGATCTTCTCCGCGCTCAGGGCCTGGGCGACATTATTGACAGTAAGTGACACCTTCCGCTGCTCCGCTCAGCAGCTTTCGCACGTAGACTTGAGGGACTGGTGTGAAGCCAGAGACACAGACCTCAGAATTCCTTTTGTAGAAACTGTGAGTTGTTCGTTTGAACCCAGGAACCTGTAAAAGATGAACATATCACTACTTGAATTTTATTACATTACCATTTGAAGTTTATTTGGAATGTTAAACATTAACTCACTGAAAAATTAATCACTGCATAAAAATGTGTCTTAAAATTTTGGTTTTCGCGGGTGGGTTTCTCTGGACTAATGCAGTGACAGCAGTGCCTAGGCTCGAAGCCCAGGCTCCAGGCTCCTTTCAGATAAGGCCTGAGTGGCTTCCCTCCTGCCAGGTGGCTGCAAGCCCTTCCCCCACTTCCTCTGACCACACGGAGGGGAAGAGACCCAATTTTGACCAAGTTCAATAACTAGAGTTCCAGAGTATTGTTTTACAATGTTGAAGACAAACTTTAGTCATCTGCCTGCACAGTGCTTTAGCTCAGGTACCTGGATAATCTAGCGTACTAGATTGCACTAGATTATTCAGATAACGTGTGGGTTTGTTAAATAAATCTTTTTGATTTTCTGAACAGAAAGCATCACGTTGTTTAGCATTCTAATAGACTTTCAAGTTCAGGTCTTACTGGTGAGCATCTCAGTTGCCATGGAAACGTTTTGTAACCTGATGATATATTCTCTGTGTTAACTTTGGTCACTTCCCAAATGCCACATGCTGCCCTGTGCCCTCTGTGTCACTGCTGAATCTGGATTCTTCTTGTGTTTTTCCTCCTGCTCACCTTCAGTTGACCCATTGATCGATGATTACTCTGGAAGTGGAGGCAAATGTGTGTATTTCATGCATTGGTTATTTCCAGTACTCTGACTTGCTAACCTGCCTCCGCTGGGTCAGTCTTAAAACGAGCTTTGCATGCCAGCAATCCCGACTGAAATCCCAGACAGAGCACACGGTAGATTCGGCAATGAGCCGATGTTTGCCCTTGGCCACTTAGCGTGGCAACCACGGCTGAGTTTCAGCTTGTGGCTTGAATAACACGGAGAGGCTGCAAGTCTCTGGCTGTTTCCATCTTCAGTTTTTCCATTTACGTGACTAAGCTGAATCCAGAGTCACGGGTGCTGATCGGCGCTCGCACGGCAGACCATACCGGGCCTGGCTGGCACTGGGGTGTTTTCACCTCTGACCGTGCCACTGACTGAATAGGCCACCCGAGGCAGGCCCACTCACCGCCGGAACACTGCAGCCAGCGTGGGCGGATTGTGAGTGTAACTCAGAACCCTGCGTTCAGTCGTTTAATTGTTATTACACTCTTTTTTTTTTTGGCCCTTTGATATTCTTCAGGGTATGGTATCACATAATAGAGAAATCCTTTTTAAGTTAACTATGTAATTTCTGAGCCTTAATATATACAATTAAAAACAACTACCTCCAGGGGTCTCCCTGGTGGCACAAAAAGTCTGAACACTATGAGGCTGCTCTAGCCCCTGTAGTTCGATCCCCCCCCAGGGCGCAGCAGACCGCTCCTGTCTCCCTGCTACTCCCCCCAGCAGGGTATTCTAGTAGATCCTCCTGTTCTGCTCCCCACTCTGTCTCTTGTGAATCCTCTCTCTCTCTCTCTCACCCCCCCACACACACCCCTGCACCCCTGCTCTTGTGTGCATAAATAAGTAAAAGAAATCTTTAAAAACAACAAACCAGCCACCACGCCCAGCGGCCACACTATCCGCGACTGACGGACCCTGACCCCTTAGCTTCAACCCTGCTTATGCCAAGTTGGTGCCCACACCGGGGCCTCCTTTTATCTGATGTTTTGGTAAGCCTCCCCCCCTTTCCAAGTTAAACTTTAAAGACTTGGATGTCTCACGTGTTCTTGAAATGGGCCTTTCTTGAAAGACCGTTCCTCACTGCTCCCATTTACACGAAGCCGATGAGGAAATGGTTCCTGAGCCCCTGAGACTGTTGGTCAGGGAATCAGCCTCAGTGAAAAGTCCTGATTTTTATGGGTGAAGTTCTGGACCTTCACTGCCGTGTTGGCCTGGGTAGCTGGCGGCCACAGGGCCTGGGAGAGACCGCAGCAGAAGCTGCCTGGGCCGCGGGGACCCGCCCCCGGCCACGGAGGGCTCCTGCGCTGGGCTCTGTCTGAGATTTCGGGGCCTGGCGAAGCCGGGACGCCCTCTTCCTCCGCTTCCGTGCGCCAGCCGCCCCGCCTGCCGCCTCGCTCTTCCCGCAGTGGCCTCCCCAGCCGTGCATGCCCGAGCCTGGCCTGAACCCACTCGGGAGACAGCCGTGGCAGCCGTGGCCGCTTCGTGCCTCTGCGCGGCCCGGCCGCGCTCACCTGCGCAGGGTGTGCATGTGCCCGTGGGCCTGCGCGCTCCGTGATCCTGCTTTCCCTCCCTGCGGCCTCACCTGGCGGCTGGTTATTTGCTCCCGTTCCCATCACCCTTTCAAAGTGCTTGTTTTCCTGTGTTCTGTATTTGCAGATGGTGGTTTTCAAACTGTCTTGAAGCAACCACTGATTTTAAGGGGCTTCAAGAACTGACTTTGGTGACGTTGAGACAGGCAGACCTAGAAAGAGCGAGCACTTGCCCCGCTTTTTATTTCCATGGAGTCCTGTCCTTAAAGGAACACTTGCTCCGTTTTGATATGAGCTCTGAGCAGTGTCAGCTTCTCCCGTGCACGGGTGAGCCCGTCGTAAAGCGGCCGCCCCCGCGCTGAGGCTGCGTCCTGGCGACCGCAAGCACAGAGCGCGGCTCGATGAGCGCCCCGACTTGTGCCGCCTCCTACCAAAGCGAAGTTTAAAAACGACATTTGCAGTTGTGCTAAGAACCTTATAAATGAAAGCCCGTCCCCAAACTTGCCTCAGTGCCGGGAACGCGGCGGAGCGGCGTGTCTGGCCACGCCGTTGGGCAGGCTCCGGCCTTTCTGAAATTAGCAGCAGCCAGCCCAGGCGCCGGCTTGCTCGGATAGGTCAGCGCCAAGGTCAGCAGCTGGCGATTGTTCGTCCCTGCTGAGCCAAGCAGCAGGTCCTGGGTTCCTGACCTAGACTCATGTCGGCGTTCTGTGATGCCTGTAGCGAGGGCTCCTTTACTTCCAAGTCCCATTTTACAAGTCCATTTCAGCATATTGAAATGCGGTTATTCAGAGGGCATTGTTATTATGTGCTGAGATGCTCCTGGGTAATTTTGCGGAATTCCATCAAACAGTAGACCACACTGATAATGTATTGTTATTGATAAATGATCGTTTCCCCCTCTGAGTGATTCAAACTAGTGGCAGTTTAAGAGTGTGACTCTGAAGACAATGTAGGTTTGCAGCCATAAAAGAAAGAGCTATCACACACCATTTAGGGAGCATGGCTGATAGTCACCTTTATGGCGCTGGTTACCTCCTGCACACGTCAGCCTGGACTGGAGTTTTTAGACTCTAAACTTAGAAGTGACTCTCGGCCCCTGGGGTCCGGCATTAAAGACAGACATGTTTTAGAACTGCCATCTAGAACAATCACTATCTGTCATTATGATGACTGGTCTGTCCTGGCGCTTTAGTGCTATCCTTTCTTACACTGGTGTTCCTTCCTGTCTTTTTTCCCCTCTGCTCCTCTCCCTCTTTCCCACTTTTCTGCCTTCCTTCTTTCTATCTCCCAGATCTGAAAGATTTTCAGAACAATAAACATAGGTACTTGCTAGCCTCTGAGAATCAACGCCCTGGCAATTTTTCCACAGCATCCATGGGGTCTCTCACTTCATCTCCATCTTCCTGCTCACTCAGTAGTCAGGTGGGCTTAACATCAGTGAGCAGTATTCAGGAAAGGATCATGTCAACCCCTGGAGGAGAAGAGGCCATCGAGCGTCTGAAGGTAAGTCGTAATTCAGGCTGAACCTGGGATAGTCTCTGCAGAGCCACGAGGCCAAATTGGGACTAAGAGGCTTTGGGGAGGAACTTTCTGGCCTGTGAAGAGGTCCTGGGTGCTGTGGAAGGTGGTGTCTGTTGACTGGGAGGCAGGAATCCAGCATGGCCAGGAAAGATGAGGTGGTGGGCAGGCAGATTATCTGAGGGGTTTTATAAGCCACCGTTGAGATTTAGGTGAAAGTTATCAAGCTGGTGGAAATATCTGGCCCACCTGAAGATGCGAGCTGTGGCGTCAGGCCTCTGTCAGAAAAGTGGACTCCCAGTCAGACCGGCAGGGAGCAGGGCTTCTGTTCAGGGAGGTAAATACGCCATCAAGAGAAAGCTTGAACGTCCAAGTAGCTGCACAGGTTTATTCAGAGCCAACGTGGGCTGATGTTCTGGAAGGTCATAGAAAGCCTGGGGCTCTGGCGGCCCTGCCTGCTCCTGTTTGGGTGCCCAGAGTGGGGGAGTGAGGAGGGGGAGCAGCCCCGAGGGAGCAGGGGGCCCCCAGCCTGCCCTCTGGCAGCCACGGTGACGCCCCGCCCCTCCAGTCCTGAGGGCTCCGGCTGGGTAACTGAAGATGGTGGTTTCACTTGGGTTTTCAGGTGTGGGTGGAAAAGGTGTGAGGAAAGGGCTTCAGGGTGTAAGCTTCCCTTTTCCTTCAGCACTTCATTCACTTCCAAAATGAGGTGCTTAGGAAGCAAAACTTGCAGAAAGAGGGGAAAGCAGTGAACGCCCTGGTAAAGGGAGAGGGAGTGAGCGAGCTTTTCCTGGATGCTGCAGATCCTGTCAGTTGTACCTCAATAAAAAGATAGAACCGAAATACTGATTTAAAACGTAAAAACCCCGCAGCCGGTATAAAGGACCAGGGGAGAAAATAATAGTGAACAACGATATACCAGAGACATTTTATGGGGGTGGAGTGTGGGATGGGATCAAAAATGGTGGTGGTGGGGGAGTGCACTGGACTGTGGTGATGGCACAGGGTGATTTGGCAATGGGAAGCCCACGGGGATTGCAACTGAGTTGGAGAAAGGCACAAATGATGTAAAAATAAACTATTATTAAAATAAGACAAAAAAACCCGCAGCCAAAGGGGAGTTGCTGCTGCTTAGCACCTGAAAAGTGGCCACAATGTGGCCAGATCCGTGTCCACGGGAAAGGGAGGGGCTGGTGAGTGTGTGGGGTGTCCGCTCAGAGCTGGGGAGGTGGGGCCTGTGGGGCGAGCGGGCGCTCCCCGCCTCCTTGCTCTGGGGATTTTGACTCTCTCTGCCTGTAAAGCCTTAATGTACAAATGCAGTTACACTTTGCTGTAACATACATCTTGGCATGAAAGAAAACTCTGCCAAGTTGACAAACTGAAACTGCCGGATGTTACGAGTCAGGACGTGAACCCCACTGAGAATTAGGTCACCTGGTGTCTTCCAGGCGGTTCCCAGGGAATAGCCCGGCTGCTGTTCAGAGCCCGCCGGCCGCCTTCCCACCAAAGCCCAAGCCCAGCCACGTGGTGCCGCCCCCCGGAAAGCACGCTCACGGCGCTCGCTCTCTGTGAGCCAGCACGGGGACACGGGGACTCTTCCACCCCCTGGCTTCCGGCAGATGCTGGTCCGGGGCTCCGCAGGGGCTCTGGGCTGTGAGCGGCGCTGTCTGTGCTGCGGCCCAGCCCGCAGCCGGGCGAGGATGCCGGGGACTGGCTTACTCGGGGTCCGCTGTTGCGGAGTGGGGAGGGCTGCGTCCCCAAGATGTGGCACCGCAGGAGGAGATCTTAAGGGGAACAGTAACAGGGGCCAGGACTCTCCCTGACAGTTTGCCTTTGCTTCTCTTTATTTTTGACCTAAAAAGAAATTAGTTGATAGGATACTTGTACACGGGGTGTAGCTGCTGCTTCATTGAATAGCCCGTGTTACCCCATCATGAACACCAAAGGGCCCCCACAAACCTGGGTGAAATAGTGCGCTCCCTGACTGCTAGATTCAGACCCCCGTTCGAGGTGGCTCTGAACGCCCGTTCAGCAGCCAGAGCGTGGACACGGGGTTTGTTGATCAGCCTGGCATCAAGCCGGGGACTCTGAGTGCGGGCTCAGGCTTCGGCTATAAATACCCACGGCCTCCCTAGGAAGGCGCCGCCTGAGCCCAGGGGCCCCCTCTTGACCAGCCTGGGGCGCGCGGGTTCAGCACACGGGGTTCTCTGATGACTTCGGGGAGTGTTCTATGTGAGAAGTGTTTAACTCTTACAGCCCTCACTTTAACCTAGTCCTGGAGAAGAGATTAGATGGCGTCCAGCCACGGAATGTAATTATGAACCGGGCTGCACAGTAGCTCGTATGTGACTCGAGAACTGACATGAAGGACACCTCAGCCCAGTGTTCCTGGGAGCTGAAAGCTCTGTTTGTTTTTTTTTTTAACATGCAGCACCTGCAGGAAAGAAGGCCTCTTAGCGGGGCTCCTGAACCCCTGGTTCCTGAAGGGTAAACAAACCCCCTTTTCAGCTGCCTCTTAAATTAGGCTCTGAGAGCGGGCTGTGGCGTGGCCCTGGAGGCCCGTGCCGGTCTCTGCTTCTCCACCGGGGCCCCGCTCAGAGGGTGGACCCCTCCCTTCACGGCTGTCCTGGCTGCTTCCCTGGAGGCCTGTCGCTGTGCCTCCTTGCAGGGAGAGTCGGGCTGCTCTGGGCCGTCTCAGGATAGCGCGCCTGCTCGTTCTCGGGAGCGTGTTCCAGGTGCTTCCCGGCATTTGGTAGCACTGAAGAAAATACCATTTTCTCTGACTTCGCTTCTGCACAGTTTAAAAAAATAGCTTCCTTGACCACAAAAAAATGATACCTTGAAGCTGTAGTGATGAGTGCTGTCTCACTCAGCTTGTGCACTGAGCTGCTACAGAAACACACCGCTCGCCCCCGGCCCCGGTCTACAGTGAGCCCCAGGAAGGTGCTTTGGTTCTTGCCTTTCTGGCCTATGGCAGACCCTCAGCAGGTGACGGGAACCGTCACTGCAGCGGCCACTCGCCTCAGGTCTGTCAGCACTGGCCCTCTCTACGCTGGCGTTTCGTGCTATAGAGGAGGGAACTGGCTTTCCTCCTCCTCTTCTCGCCCTCTTATGCTGGGTCCCCTGTAGCAAAAGGCAAATTGAAGGAGAGAAAAAAAGTGCGGCGCTTTATTTCCATTCTATGGCACACAGGGCCCTCACCAGGAGATGCCGCCCAAGAAGCATTAAACCTGAGCAGTATTTTTTTTTTATGACGAACAGTAGAAAGTTGTGGGAAAATGCAATGGGACAGAGAGCACGAGCTAGGAAGTCAGCGGGACGTGCCGTGAGCCCTTGCGCAGAGCCCGGCACCCTCCGTCTCTGGAGGCTGGTGCTCCCTCCTCAGCGCCGGGCGGGGGCCGCCTCCCAGGCCTCCTGGCCTGCTCCGGCAGGTGAGAGCCCTCCCGCACCCGCGGCTCCTCAGGCACATGCGACCCTCGGTGTTGCGGTGAGGTTAGAGTCAATCTGTGTCTTGTTCTCTTGCTGAAGTGGCTGCATTTGGGATGTTGCGGGACAAGAGACAGCCGTGCTCACCAGGAAGGGCTCCGGAGAACTGAGCAGTCTGACTGGCTTGGCGACAGGCCTGGCCCTCACGCTCGTCTCGGCACAGTAGATGCTGCCTTGCCCCCGTGGAGGCATCACCTGCGCCCCGCTGCCCCCCCAGACCCGGGAGCTGAGCGATGAGATCCTTGGGCTCTTCAGCAGTATGCTTCTTCCCGCAGGAGTCAGAGAAGATCATTGCCGAGTTGAATGAAACCTGGGAAGAGAAGCTGCGTAAGACAGAAGCCATCAGAATGGAGAGGTCAGGAGGTTAAACTCTGGGATTGTTTCTGAATTCTCCAAGGAAATTGGATTACTTTTATAGTAAGGAAAGATGAAAGAGAAATTCAAAACAAAGACTCTTCCTCCCCAAACAAAATACAAGCCTGGCTGGGACTTACGGTCAGTGAGACCCGCACACCTGTCCACTCCCCCGAGGCTGTGCTGGGAGAGTCACCGGCCGTGGCCGCTGCCTGTGCCGGAGGCCACGGAGGGTGACGGCTCTGAGGTGTTTTGGCTTGTGAAGAAAACTGCCTTTGACAAACAGGCTCCGGTGCTCCCCCTTAGAACCGTTGTGGTAGGAGGCAAAGTGGTTTGAGCCACAACCTTTTAAAATTCCTATGCTAGCTCAGCCCCTACCTGAAGGTGAGCATAACCCAAAATAACCCTTTGCCGGTGGAATAAACATAGATTTAAAGTGTCAGTTCCTGTCTCTCCTCTTTGGAGAAGATGAGGCAGAAATGAGTTCTAGTATTCATACAGTAAATGTCTCAAGCAGAATTTTCTACAGAGATTTTAAGCTCAAAGTAGAATTTCTCACAGAGACTAAGCTACAGAGGTGGTGGCCATAGATATCATTAAAAAAAAAAACAGCTTTCATTGCTGTCACTACAAGTAACTCACTAAAGGCGGCTGGGCTCCCCCCTTGCCGCCCCCACCCTGGCTGGTCTCTGGGGCCTGGGGTCTGGACGGCGTCTGAAGGCTGGATGTCGCCCTAGGGAGGCCCTGCTGGCTGAGATGGGAGTAGCCATTCGGGAAGACGGAGGGACCCTGGGAGTTTTCTCGCCTAAGAAGGTAAGTGAGCCTCGGGATTCCCAAACCGCTGCCGCGCCCTCCCCCCAAGGCTTCGTGCCAGAAGTCCCCGCTGCCTCTTGCTGTCCCGGGGCGCCTGCTTCTAAAGTGCTTGTTGCTCCGCGCGCAGGCCTCTGCAGCCCCTTGCCTCGGCCCGCCCTGACTGTCTGAGCAGAGCGTGGCCTCAAGACCCTGTGACCTACGTGGGGATGCCGTCGGGCTAGTTTCACCAAGGAAGGTTGTTTTTTTCAAGATTTTAGAAACATTAGCGCTGAGTGAAGAGAATTTTCAGAAGCTGTATTATTAAATGTCAGTAATTTCAATTTCTTTAAGGTAAAGACAAACTAAAAAACTGATATCATGAGAGAACTGATAAAATCATTGAGAAAAGTGACAGGTGTGGCAACATTTTTATAAAGCCAATGAAAAATTAAATATTTCTTGAGAATAATGATATTCCCTGTACCCTTCTGAGTTCTCGACTGAGATCCCTGTGGTATAATTTTGACGAGAAACGAGGAAAACCGAAAGAGGTTTATTTGCGTGTGCAGCCACGTACACAGGCGCCCGGGGACAGGTGTCGCTGAGCAGGCCTCGAGCCGCCCTGACCGGGCGGGGTGAAGGGCTTGGGGGAGAGGATGGCCTTGGGACAGCGGGGCGGGGGGCTGGGGGCCTGGGGGGACATGGTGTCTGGGTGCAGCGGCAGCGACCACTTCGGGGCCCCTCTCCCCGCGCAGCAGCCCCCGGTGGGCGACGCGAGTCCCTTCAGGGCCGGTGTCTGGGCAGCTCGGGCGTGGGCGGCCCCGAGCACTGGCCTCTTCTCCACCGGCACAGGGTCCCCGCAGCCGTGGCCTCTCGACCGCCCTTCTAGGTTTCTGCCCAAACCTTTACGAAAATGGTGACCGGCCAGCCAGCCAGCCAGCCCTCTCCGATTCTTGCTTTGTGTTCTCCTTGCTTTCACCTGTCAAGACGCGTGTCTTGTTCTTAGCCCAGAACTCGTGTTTTGAGGGACCTACCAGTGCAGCTTTGGAAGGTCCGAAGGGGACTTCTGCTCTTTACCGTGGGGTTGCTGCCAGGAGTAAGACGTGCCCATGCAGGCCCTGGGCGTCCAGGCGCGGCCTCCTGCAGGGCCTGTGGCTGGCGCAGCCTTCTCGGTCAGGCTTGCTCCCGCTGACAGACGCCCTGTCGCCTTCCAGACCCCGCATCTCGTTAACCTCAACGAGGACCCGCTGATGTCCGAGTGTCTGCTCTACTACATCAAAGATGGAATCACAAGGTGTGTTCTCGTTGCTTAATGCTTCCTCATGATCAGATAAGAAGAGGGAGGTTATTTGTTGAAACATCTGTTGTAATAATTGGCTGTTTTCCCCGTCTGGCATAGCGAAAACGTAGATTTTCCACTCTCCCCAAATGATGTGTTTTCTCTAGCTAAACCAGTTAACGGGTAGTTTTCCCCCAAAAGCCTGTCGGAAAAATGTCTCCTTCTACCATCTCACCCGAATTCGTTAGGGAGATTAGTTCACTGGTGTTGCCCGAGCTCCGTGGGTCACATTGTGGGAGGCTGGTCATACATGAAGCCGGGCTTTGCAGTTGAAAGCGCTGGGAGGAAAAGCCAGCACCTTTTCTCCACATACAAAGAGTATTCTTGGGGAGAAAGAGGCTCATTGTTTCGTGTGCTTTTTGTGTCTGAATCACCCTGGGCAACGCCCCCTCGTGTCCAGGGTTGGCCAGGCAGAGGCCGAGCGGCGCCAGGACATCGTGCTGAGCGGGGCCCACATCAAGGAGGAGCACTGTGTCTTCCGGAGCGAGAGGAGCGACAGCGGCCACGGTGAGGCCCCGGGCCCTGCTCTGTCGCCGTGTGCCTGCGAAATCCCCCACACTTGGCATTCCTGGCTCTGGGTGCTTCTTGTACTATCTAGTGTTTGGAAACGGGGCACCCTGACTGCTTAGAAGTGCAGGGACCGCAGAGCCACTTTACATGAAAATGGCCCGAACAAGAGGAGTCCTTTTGTCCCTGGCAAGCACTGAGCAGGGCCCAGGCAGCGGGGCTTGGGCCTGAATGTTAATGATCTCAGAGACCAGTAGGAAAGGAACAGATGGGCAGTGGGGGCTGGAAGCACCTCTGCTGGGTCTTAAGCCGTCAAATTAATTTTTATGTACAGAGGAGGAAACAGTCTCTTGCCCAGGTTACTAGCAAGGCAGCAATCCAGGTATTTTTGTGCACTACGTGAATGAGAATACCTGCTTTGGTATTAAGTTTCTGGCTAGTACCCACATCTCACCCTTGGGTCTCTGACCGTCCTGTCTTGCGGGCTGACGACCAAGCTGTCCCCAGGCCAGGTGTCGCCTGGCTGGGAGGTCTGGCGCCTTCGCGCCAGTCACATCTTTCCACGGCTTCTTCCCCGTACCCTAACACAACCGACAGACGCGCCGCCACTCGGCTGGCCCCAGGACGCTGTGCTGGTGACCACGAGCCCGCGGCGGCATCCGCGCCCCCTTCCCCGTCCCCCGCTGTATTTGGCGGCTTGCGAGGCTGACCTCAGATTGCACTTCTTTCAGTGATCGTGACCCTTGAGCCCTGCGAGCGCTCAGAAACCTACGTGAATGGCAAGAGGGTGTCCCAGCCCGTTCAGCTGCGCTCAGGTGAGCCGGAGTGGGGAGCCCAGTGGGGCGCCGGACTTGTGTGATGACCCTTTGGAATGGACACGCTTGCGTACGGGGGAGGCGAGTCCCCGGGGCCCTGCGCCGCTCGAGACCGACTCCCTAACCCCGCTCTGTTCTGCACCAGGGAACCGGATCATTATGGGCAAGAACCACGTGTTCCGGTTCAACCACCCCGAGCAGGCACGGGCGGAGCGGGAGAAGACGCCCTCCGCGGAGACCCCCTCTGAGCCTGTGGACTGGACGTTTGCCCAGAGGGAGCTTCTGGAAAAACAAGGCATTGACATGAAGCAGGAGATGGAGAAGAGGTGAGGCCTGGCGGGAGGCAGCCGGGGAGGGCGCTGAGCGGCTGTGCGGCCTAACGCCCCTCCCTTCCAGGCTGCAGGAAATGGAGATCCTGTACAAGAAGGAGAAGGAGGAAGCAGATCTTCTCCTGGAGCAGCAGAGACTGGTAGGAGTCCACCCTGAACCCTCTTAGGAAAGGGCCGCCGCTCTCGCCTCCCCTCCCACGGGCGAGCCCCCTGCTTGCTCTTCATCTCCTTAATGGAGGAGGAGCCTGGCTCGCCCGGCCGCTGGCCTCACCCCGGCCTGCAGGTGCTGTGTGGCGCCGCCCTTGCCCGAGTCAGCCCCCGAAACGAGTGCTCTGGAGGAATAGCGAGGGCTTCCGGGTAGCCTTGCCTCTGGTAGTGGTTTTGGATTCGCCTCAGAGCCGGTTTCACAGTCATTCTTCTGAGTGTCGCGTTTGGCGGGTGTTGCCTTGGTTTGTTTCCGATCACCTGATAGTACTAATTCTCTGCTCTTGGGCTGACTCCGGGATTTTCCTTCTCCTTTTTTTTGATGAGTTAAACTGTGTCTAAACGTGTCGCTGCACAGTTGCATGTGTTAATCCCTTACTGTTCCCTTGCATGGAGCCTGAATTCTCCACGAGGCCTCAGTGACGGGCGGGCGCAGCTCAGTGGGAGAGGGAGTAGAGGAGGGGCTGGGTCAGCCCCGCAAAGGCAGCGTAAGGTGCAACTCGCGGTGCCACGGCTGGGGCACCGTAGGGTGTCGACTGGTCTTCCGGCTGTGATGGAATCTGTGACTAGATTCATCCCATTAGGTAGATTTTCATTTTTAAAACCCCCCAGTTCGGACAAGTGAGATGCTGGTGATAAAAAGCCTGTTGGCATTCATTTGATTTGTACCAAAAAAAAAAAAAAAAAAAAGGCCTAACAAGCCTTTGGGGACTGTGGCTAGAGTTTAGGAATGTCCCTTTCTCAGATCCACGGGCTTCTTTTAAGATCAGGGGCATTAGGGACGGGGCCGGGGTACTGGTTTCTTTCCTTAGTGAAGGCACAGCCTGCAAAGTGCTGTCAGCAGCCGGTCACCGTCCAGTCACACTCTGCTTTGGGGAAGAGAGGCTGTGACTGAGGGAGCCTGGGAAGCCAGGGGCTGGCCAAGGCAGGCTTCCCCGGGGAGTTCCTTCAGGCTCAGCAGTGGGTTAAAACAGTTTTTTATTTTGAAAATGATAGGAAAGCCTAGAAAGGAGTGGACTGCAAGGGTAAACCAAGTGTTTGGGGCAAGATAATAGCAGCGTCACAGTGAGAGTCTCTGTAGGAGGCCCATGGCATTTAGTTTTTAATGAGCACTGCAGTGTGATCAGTTTGTGACACATGAAAGAGCCTTTTATCTCAATAATGTAGAAATCTAATAACATGCCTCTCGTGGTCTGTGAGAGACCAACCAGGATAGGTATAATTAAGCTGTATTTATTATGAACAGCAGGCTCTTGTGTTTGTTAGTGCTTTGTGATTTACAGAGGACTTTGACATCCATCTTTTTATTTATTTATTTTTTGCTTCTGGAAACCAGCTTCTTGGGTAGGTTTGTATGTAAGTAAGAGAAGCAGAGGAAGCCAAGGCTACCTACAGTGCCATCTGGCCCTGGGAGACACCCGGGTTGAGTTTACACTCGGGTCCTCTGGCTGGCTTCAGTGCTCTGTCCAGTGGGGCTGTGCTTCTGGACCTCCTGGGGACCTGGCTAACTCAGAGGTGCTGACTGAGTGGGTCTGGGGTGGGGCCGAGACTCTGAATGTCTGACACACCCCAGGTGATGGCTGGTCCCAGGACCCACCTTTGTGTAACGAACTAGAAAAGAACCAAGATGCTGGCTTCTCCATCACTGCTGTGCGCACTCAGAGGAAGATACTGACATGACTCCAAGAGAAAGTAACCGTGTCTGAGACGGCCTCAGTTTGCAGGGGTCGTGCAGGCGGCCCAGTCAGGTTCTGGTCGTGCCCCCAGCGTGCCTGACTCAGCCAGGGGGATAGGGCAGCTCCTCAAAGCAACAAGTTACTTGCCTCCCTGAAGTTCAGCTCTGCCTCTTGAGCTTCTTGTCCTCAAGAAGAATTGATTTCTGATGCTCTAACCTGAAGAGTAGCAAGCACGTAAGAATCCTGAGTGGAAGTGACCCTGTATTGGTCAGCCAGCAGATAGATTTTGAATGTGCCCGTTGAATACTGTTGAAGGGATACGAAGGACTTACTCAGTAAATGCCCACTGTTTATATGATCATTTTTGCAAAATGGGATCTGTGCAAATGAGCTTTGTCTGGTGACAGTTCCTGAAGTGATCCAGGCTCTGGGGCTGTGCCCTCTCGTGGCCAGGGTCTCTGCACCTGGTCTGCTCTGCTCCTTCCTGTTTGCACATGTGTTTTGTGTTTCTTATTTTCAGAAACTGCCTGTAGCGTCTCTTCAGGAGGTATTTAATGAACACAGAAGGGTTGTTCAGTCACATGAGAAATGGCCAGACTGGAGTGGTTTCCCCAGCTCTGTAGTACACGACTTTAAATAGCGTAAAACCTTTTTTTGGATGTAAATAGGGGTCACCTCATGGCACATAAATTTTGTAGAGTTTTTAGTCTCATTATCAGTGTGTGACTGACTGGGGGTGTGTCTGAGCTGTAAGGTGCTGTACAGAGATGACAATGTGGCGGTATTTTTAAAGGAAAGAACATGATGCCTCTTAATTTGACTTCTTTGAGTTTATATAAACTCTCACTTAGGTATTTAAAGATCAACTCATCAATCATGATATTAAAGCAAGGATTAGAATATATGTTGTTTCCTAAATTTGTATTCCTGGCATCTTTTAAGGAGCTTTTAAGAGGAAACGGAAGGAGCCAGGGGAAGAAAGCAAAAGCTGTTCATTCCACAGGAGCAGTGAGGGCGAGTTTGTGCTCCGTGGCAGGAAGCCCTTTGTAAGGAAGCCCTTTCAGTCACCAGACTGCATATCTAATGCTTACTAATGTTATCTTTTAGCGGCGTAACATTAGCCTGAGTCTTTAAACTTAAAATGAAAAGAAAACAGTATATAGAATCTGTAAATTTAGCACTACCTGCTTTTTGGAGCTTCATTTTCAAACAGATTGTGTTGTAAACGGGCTCAAGTACCTGGTTTATCGACCATTAGAAATGGTACAGATTGGTAACTAGCAATATCTTCAAATTCAGGGGCCAAATTGTTGTCATTATTGTTAAAGGTTATTTTGTCTGTTTCCCAGAAAGTAACTGTACATAGAAATCTTTGGAGGAGAGAACAGATACTGTTTTATCAGTTTTGCTTCATTTAAAAAAAAAAAAAAAACAGAAACAAAAGCCAAGCCCTTTCCCGGCGATGCTGTCGGTGATCACAGACACACAAGAGACTGTTGAGTGGCCACATGTCTATTTCCTGGCAGTCCTGACCGGCTCCTCCTTCGGATAGTTTCTTTCTCAGGCGCTCGTCTTTCCTCATAGAGACCCCTTGATGACCCCTCAGAGCTTCCCGAGTGTGCGCTGACAGCCCCTGACCCGCCTCACTGTGCAGTCAGGCCCTGGTGTCGGCATCATTAAGGAGCCTTTTTAGAGACGAGGTAATGGCAGAGAGAGCTGGGGCTGTGCTTTCAGGCAGAGCCACGCTGTGTGTGCAGATGCAATCTGTGTGTTTCATGCGTTGGTGGGAAGTGATACTCCTCAAACAGCCAGAAATGCTGTGACTTTCTGTAGCTAGGACACGTCTCAGTTGTATTTATTATAATATCTTGTGGGTGGGCGGGGGACTTTAAATGATATTTAATGAAGACCTGTGCTCGGCTTAATTTTTATCCTGGTAGTTTATTTCATAGAATTTTAGAGGTGAGGTATTTGTTGGTGATCCACCTATAAAGGTCCCTTCTGAATGCTTCTCAGGACAAGAGATTTTTTTTTTTTTAATTTTTTAAAGATTTTATTTATTTATTCATATAGAACTGGGGTACAGGCCAGAGATGCGGAGGGTGAGAGGATTCACCAGAGACAGAGTAGGGAGCAGAACAGGCAGATCAACGAAGTACACTGCTGAGGGGAGCAGCGGGCGGGTCAGGAGAGGTCTGCCTCGCCATGTGGTCACCTCCGGGGCAGGCAGGAATCGAACTCATGCGGAAGCAGCTTTAGCTTCTCAGTGCTGTGCTCTAACCCGCTGCGCCACCAGGGAGGGCCAGGACAACAGATTTTAATTGTCAAAGGAAATGGGTCCGTGTGCTGAAGCAAGAACAGAGCAACGCCAGAGTGTGTTCACGGGAAGACTAGTCTCCAGGCCCTCTTGTCTCATAGAGTGAGACTGGCTTGATGAGAACCTCCGTGGCTGGCCAGCAGGGACTCGGCGCTTTAACGTCATCCGTTTGACTGTTTCTACTCTCTCACCTTCTAACTTTTTTCTAGGGCTGCTCTTTTCAGTAAAGCTAAACAGAACGTGGCTTCCTCCAGCCTTACTAACCCTTGTTAACCGCCTGCTCGTCACATCTTGTATGGCGTCTGTGCTCACCCGGGGGGAGAGCGTTCTGGAAGCAGCAGCAGCAGTAACCAAGGCAAATGTGGGACGTGGCTGCATGCGTGTGGGCATGTGGGGCGCAGGCGTGACTGCTTTCCTTGAGCTAGTGGGCTCTGCCTTCACACCGTCTTGCTAGTCGCCGCGTGTGGCCTCCGAGGGCTCTCACCTGGCAGACCCTCCGCAGCGATTTGAGCTCAGATCTCATCACTTTAGCCGGAAACTGGAAGTCTGGTTTAGTGGCCTTCAACAGACACATTTTTATTTCTGATCTCTGTGTGCGTAGGTCTTAAAACTTCCACACTAGGTGCAGTGTTTTGTGTTTTTAGTTTTGTTTTTTTGTTTGTTTGGTTGGTTTTGAAATTTGGTTAAGGCTTTTTTGCTTGCTTTTTCTTCGATTTGATTTTCCTTTTTTATATTTTAATTTTGGTTATTTGGGGGCCATTTTTTGATTTTGTTTTTCCAAAGGACGCGGATTCTGATAGCGGGGATGATTCAGACAAGCGATCCTGTGAAGAGAGCTGGAAATTGATAACTTCTCTGAGAGAAAAGCTACCTCCCAGCAAGTTACAAACCATTGTTAAAAAATGTGGCCTCCCCAGCAGTGGGAAGAAACGAGAACCAATTA